CCTGGGGGGAGGCTCCAGCAGGCTTTCCTCCGTGCGTGTTGGGGGGGGAGGCTACAGGGCCCCCAGCGTGCACGGGGGCTCCGGCAGCTACTCCGTCTCCTCCCGCGTGGTCTCGGGGCTGGGAAGTGGCTTTGGGGGCAGCTACTGCAGCAGCGTAGGAGGGGCCCTCGGTGGGGGCTTTGGGGGCAGCTATGGGGCCAGCTTTGGGGCCGGCTTTGGAGGGGGCTTTGGAGGTGGCGATGGCATCCTGCCGGCGGGGGAGAAGGAGACGATGCAGAACCTCAACGACCGCCTGGCCGCCTACCTGGACAAGGTGCGAGCCCTGGAGGAGGCCAACACCGACCTGGAGGTCAAGATCAGGGAGTGGTACAAGAAGCAGGGCCCTGGTCCCGACCGGGACTACAGCCCCTACTACAGGACCATTGAGGAGCTCAGGAACAAGGTAGGAATGGGGATCAACCCAGTGGGACATCGTGTGTCAGAGAGGAAGCAGAAATGATGACTGTTACTTCTGTAATTAGTCAGCACTAATTATGCCATAAAAAGTGTCCCAGTGGCACACGGGGAGCGCCAGGTTGGAAATCAGGGGTGTTTCAATATCATCGTTTGGCTGCATCCTCCTGGATGCGACAAGTGGCAGCTTCCACTGGCAGAAACAGATGTAACAGGACGTAACACAAAAATGGAGGAATACAGACAAGTCTGCACTGATCATGTGTGTTCTAGGGAGTTTAAAACCAGTGTGCAGGGAAAGTTGTAACTGTGGGCAAACCACGAGACACTGATGTCATGTTTGGAAACATTCAGGCAAAGAATTTGCAAACGTGTTTCAGCTCCTCCTATTAAGGAGATTTAGATGATAAAAAGATGGATCTGACCAATAACGAGTTCTTCACCTCCTTTTGGCAGTCACTGCCCCAGGGCTGGGCTTGGTGCAAAGCCCCCAGCCGAGGCAGCTTGGGGGATTCCTCCCCATCTGATTTGAGTCCCAGCACCCCATTTTGGAGGAAATGCTCCAATTTCTTTTGTTCTCTGTTACTTCCCACGCACGAATTGCCCCCAGCAACCACGCAGGAAGCCTTGTGCAGCTGGAGCTGTGGCAAAGGATGCAGGGAATCCATATTCCTCCCCTCTCCTTAACGCAATTCTCCCAAACTCTGACTTGAATCTCCTCCCAGGAGGGGTTATTTGCTCCTGCGGTGGTAATATGAAAATCAGAAGCCGTAGGCAGCTGCTCACTGCCTTTTGCTCCATTTCTGCTGCCAGCAAATTAAATCCACCCCAGTACAAGGTGTGCCAAGTGCAGACACCCTGCTGGTCCCTCTGTCCTGCCGTGGTGCTACAGGTGGGGAGCAGGTGATTCCTCCTTGACCTTTCTGTAATCAGCACCTGCCCTGAAGGACAGGAACAAAAGCCACCATCAGATTTCACACATCTTTCATGGCCTCACTTTGCCTTTTGAAACATTTACTGATGGATTTTTGGAAAGGGAAGTCACAGAGTAACCAGCTCCTTCCCACAGTCACAGCTGCACCTCCCTTGTCCTGATTCCATGCACACTTCTGCTAAAGAAACCCCAAACCGCTTCTGTCTCCCAACACTCCCACTGTGCTGCTTCCCTTGGTCTGCCAGGAGGAGTTCCTGACACTCCTTTTTTTTATCTTCCACCCACCAGGTGCTGGTGGCCACAGTAGACAATTCCAACCTCCTGCTGCAAATTGACAATGCCAGGCTGACGGCTGACGACTTCAGGACCAAGTAAGCCACATTTCCTGGAAAAACGGAGCCAAGGGAAGTTGGATGCAACGAGGAGAAAATCCCATCCAAACCCCCAAAAAGGCCATGTGGAAGCAAAACCTTCAAAATGAGGGTGTAATTTCCAAAGCAGATGGTTATCTCAATCTTACAGGCACTCAGGGATTGTGTTGCTTCCACCCAAAACCACTGTGTTATTCCCATTCCTTGCTCACCCGTGGCACAGGCTCTCCCGTGCCTCGCTGTGCACTTAACGTGTGTGTGCAGAGCCCAGGGCCTGGTTGGGATCAGGAGCAGGGCGATGTGATGAGCTCAGGTGGACACCGTTGTACTGGTTTCCCCCACACTTGTGCAGCTTTGCTGATGGTTGCTGTGCCCCCAGGTTTGAGTCGGAGCAGGCCCTGCGCCTGAGCGTAGAGGCCGATATCAACGGCCTGCGCCGCGTCCTGGACGAGCTGACCCTGTCCAGGGCCGACCTGGAGATGCAGATCGAGAACCTGAAGGAGGAACTGGCTTATCTGAAGAAGAACCACGAGGAGGTGAGCGCAGAGCCAGGCACAAAACCGGGACCTACAAATGTTTCTTGTGCACCAGGGGAAGGGTCGGGTCAAACATGAAGGAGTCTCTGCCGTCAGGGCTGTCAGGAGATGCTCGAGGGGGAAGGGGGAGGGAAGCAATCCCTACAGAGAGGACCTCCATGAGGTCTGTGGGGTTCCTGAGCTGGGTGCAAATAAGAAATTTCTCAGGATGGGAATACACCATTGTCACTCTGACGTGCGTCTTCTCTGTGTCAGGAAATGACTGCCCTGCGCGGGCAGGTGGGAGGCGAGATCAGCGTGGAGATGGACGCTGCCCCTGGAATCGACCTGACCAAGATCCTGGCGGAGATGCGGGAGCAGTACGAGAGCCTGGCGGAGAAGAACCGCAGGGACGCCGAGCAGTGGTTCTTCAGCAAGGTGAGGGGCTGGGGGGGAGCAGAGGGAGCGGGGTCAGGGCTGTGCCCGCCACCCAGGGCCCTGAGGGCACGGCTTGTCCTCCTTGCAGACGGAAGAGCTGAACCGGGAGGTGGCCATCAACACGGAGCAGCTGCAGAGCGGCAAGACGGAGATCACGGAGCTGCGGCGCACGATCCAGAGCCTGGAGATCGACCTGCAGTCCCAGCTCAGCACGGTACGGGGGGTGGGGGACACCCAGGGACACGGGGCCCTAGGGCTGTGCCCCCCTGGCTGCCCCAGTGCCCCTGAGCCATCCCTGTCCCCGTCCCACAGAAAGCGGCCCTGGAGGGCACCCTGGCCGACACGGAAGCGCGCTACGGCACCCAGCTGGCCCAGCTGCAGGTGCTGATCACCAGCGTGGAGGAGCAGCTGGCCGAGCTGCGCTGCGACATGGAGCGCCAGAACCAGGAGTACAGGGTCCTGCTGGATGTCAAGTGCCGCCTGGAGCAGGAGATCGCCACGTACCGCCGGCTCCTGGAGGGCGAGGACGCCCAGTGCGTGAGGGGCTGTGCCGCGGGGGGGGCAGCGGGACGACAGGGTGGGTAGCGAAGGAAACAGAAAAGGAACCACCTGCATTGCCTGCAGGATCCTGTCAGCCCATTCCCTGACCCACTGCATGCAACGGGGCCTCGAAATCCAGAACAGCCCCGTGGTTATAACAGTGCTGCAGCATCCCTGGATCCACCTCCCATCCCTCCTGTGTCCGTGTGACCCTGGGGAGGGAGCAGGTGCTGCTGCTGCTCCTTGCAGCTGGGATAGGTGCTGCCTTGGTATCCAAATCCCCGTGGCACACATGCATCCTTACCAGCTTCTTCCCATAATTGTGACACCACACCGGGCAGTTTCCAGAAGCACTGGAATTTTAATCACTTCCTGGTGATTATTACAAGAAATGAAGGCAGGGTTTAAACAATGATTTTATCTTGGTGATCACCCACTTTTCCCCTGTTTCTGACCACCTTTTTTCTGTTCTTCTCCTGTAGCATGTCCTCCCACTACATCACACCAAAAGAAGGTAAGAACAGGTCTTGGCTGAAGCTCTGATCACATACAGCTCTATCACATCCTTATCCACCCTCTTAGCACAGAATTCTTCAACTAATCTACTAAAGTTACTATTTCATTATATTGCCAAAATGCGAATTGACAAAAACCACTCTTATGATAAACCAAAACCTGTTTGAGAAATTATCTGGGCACACTGAAACTGTACAGTGAAGCTTTTAGGGGTGGACTGGGGTGTTACGTTGGGTTTCTGAGGCAGTGGTTCTAGTAACAAATCTTTAGGATGAAGCTCTTCAGGACACTTTCTCCTTTCTGCCCTGGAAATAACGGTCCCTTCCTTCCCCATTTCAGGGCCTGTAACCACCCGCCAGATCCGCACAATCTTCGAGGAAGTGCAGGATGGGAAGGTGATCTCCTCCCGGGAGCAGATCACCCAGGCTGCCCACTGAACCCTCGGAGCCCACTGAGCCTGGTTTGCTGCAAACCTCGCCCGGCACAGCAAAGCAGATCCCAGCTGACGTGCTCCGGCCGTGTGGGTCATGAAAAGCACCTTCTCCCTCTCTCACCTCCCTCCTTTTCCCCTCCCTCACCCTTTTCTCGGCGCTGTGCCACACGCAGAAATCAAATAAAGCTTCTCCTCACACTCCTGCAAACCAGGCTCTGGTCCCGTTGCTCTGGGGCTGTCCTGCTCCTGCAGCCGTGGGACAAAGCTCCTCCCTGGAAGGACCAACATTCCCCATCCTCGGTACCACCATGGTGGGCCCAGCATACCCACACCTCTGGACACCTGAGACCTGGCGGCTCCAGGGAAGAGGGGATGGATGCTGGTGTGGAGGAGGCCCGGACAGGCACTGATCCCACAGGTGGTGGGGGCTGAAACGTGTCAGAGTGTCTGCATTTCACCTCAGGCTGGGCACTGAGAGGTTCAGGTCAGGCAAAGCTCTGCTCCCCTGCTGCA